TCACCGGCCTTCGACCACGACCGTTTTCGCTTGATATTGTCGTATGTGATCCATTTTCCGTCGCCAGTCACCATCCGCTTCAAGAATAGGACAAGTTCGTTCCGTTTCAGCAGCATATCGCAGGCGTTGATTCGGTCCAGAAGGTTTTTTTGCGTCAAATTATGCGGCACCCAAACATCAAACTTTTTTTTGTATCCAGCCTTCTGCAGATGGTTCAAAATGGTTTGGTGACTAACTCCCATCTCCTGGGCGATGTCACGAGATGCCATATGCCGGTCTAACTCGATGTATTCCATGATTTGATCGGTATTTGTCGTCACAGGTCTTCCGCCGGCTGGCTTATCCATGGTGTCGTTTTCACCGGCTCTGAATCATCGAAACCATTCCTCCGCGGTTCGAAGTGATAGAGTACCATCCCCCAAAACACCATTAATCTCACGGAACGTTTCTCTAGCGGATTTGCCTTTAACGAAGGAAAACTTTAAAATAGCGCGAATTTCGGCGTTAGTGAACTCCATGTTTACACGTCTATAACTGTTGAACGCAATATCCAAACTAATCATGCATAGCGTTGTTTTGTAGGTTATGTCAAGACCTTTCAAATTATGTATAGTGTTGCCAGATACGAGCTCTGTAGCGCTTTGTACATAGCCGCGAAATTCAAAAGACAAAAAAGCGGAAGGGAGATACCTGACAACCTTATATATAAAAGTGAAATTTTATATCAAATCAAAGTCAAGTGTATTTATCATTAAATAATTTAAAATATTATATTATATTTAAGTGAAATTGTATGTCGGAAAGAATAAAAGCAAAGTGAGTAACTAGTATTGAAAGTGTCTATTGTCAAAATAGAAGATTTGTATTTATGTCTAAAAATTCAAGAATTTCGGAAGACATAATTAAAGTTTTTACGTCACTAAACGGTTTTAAGCTTTATTTTGTTAGTGAAAGTTTTGACCTTTTTTGTTTTTTTTTGATAATTTTTGCATGTAGTTCCATTTGAAGTGGATTGACAATTTTTGTAAAAGCTTTTGTGAATTCCATGTAATATGACGTTAAATCTATGAAAGCCTTTTTAGTCGGAAGAGTTCTGAATATTTATTTATCATTTCCCTAACTCCATGGTCTTTTTTTTGAATATTATTTAGTTACTTCGACACTTTTTATCATACACCCTCGAAGTTAGCGTGTTATTTTTTATTTACAATCGCTAGCAATTCTTTGAGAATATCATGAACTATGCACAGTGGACGAAATGACCAATCTGACAAGGATTAATTCAAATTTAAAATTTTTTATTTGCGCTGATATTCTTTTATTACTCGATGGACAATACTTAACTGAAACTGCTAATAATATTTGCTTTGTTTTTCCTTAATATTCGCACAGCTTTGAAAGCTTACATCAAAGTTGACGTATGGCTCGATAAGTGTATGCAAATTAACTTCCCTAACTAGGGAAGGATTAAAAAAATATATGGAGCCACATCCACCAACACATGGACTCCAATGAAACGCACGTCCATTCAGTTTTGGTGGAAATCCGAAATCTCCCTTTTTTATATAAGTACTTATATTTATACATTTACAATTCTTAATCTTAAAGCTACTTTTGCCATAATAGTTTGAGAGCCAGGTGTAAATTTGGTTAATTATTTCTTCTCGAGAGATAATTGGTGATACGCATCAGAAAATCGAACCATAAAGCCTCGTGAACGTCAGCTGAGGCTCGGTTGAGGGGATGAGTGTGTGCAGCCTCCCACGGTTTTTCCACCGAGATACAGCCAGGTGACGTGTACCTATACTTATCAATAGTTACATATCAGCTATCATCCGGTAAATTTTTATTTGAGAGGATATCACTGAAAGTAAGTGAAGACATCAGCTGACGTACAATCCACTATGTTATAGCCAGCTGACTATTGTTTTTTTTTAAGTTATTAGGTTAGCTATAATTTGATAAATTTTTAGCCGAGAGGAAATGAGTGAATGTATTTTTTTTTTCTTCAAGCGTGGGAGGCTACACACACTCATCCCCCCAACCGAGCCTCAGCTGACGTTCACGAGGCTTTATGGTTCGATTTTCTGATGCGTATCACCAATTATCACCTAAGAGGAACTTGGTCATATATTTCTGTTACTGGCTCTTGGACTATAACGCTTTGGCTAGGTGATGATATTAAAGAGAGTGGAATATTACTTTACTGTTTATCAAAACAGAAGATTTATTATCCAAACAAAGAACAAAGAGATATCGATTCGCTATGAAAATATTGATTTAGAATGGATTTCAATTACGTACCTGCATAAATGAAAAGTATGCAAATCCACAAGATGTACTTTTGTTTATCTTTTTTCTGTTGATTCTATCGGATTCGATCTAGTAATTATTTTTTTTTTTGTTGATAATATTATCTATTATGAACAGGGACCGTAAGTAATGATTATTGTTGCGATTTTTAAATGAAATAATCAGTGACTTACAATCGACATATTGATTATTTTCTTCACCGCTAATGATTAATTTTGATTTATTTTACAATAAATCATAAATAATTTTTAGTTTTGATGAAAAAAAAAAAAAAAATCAAAAATAATCGTTGTGAGATTAATAAAACTCAAAATAAACCTCATTTTTTTAGATCACATATTTCTTATGAAGGTTTTTAAAAGTGAGTTTTATTTTTAGCAAAACATAAAAACAAAAAAAATCATAAAAAAATTTATTTTTTGATTTTAATATTTTTTTTTCTCAAAATACCAATTATTTATTATTTATTGTACAATTAATCAAAATTAATCATTATTAGTTATAATCTCAGACTATGAATGTTAAATGTTTAAAATTAACTTCTAGTTCTTCCAAGATTTAAAGATTTTGCTCTTTTTGTTAATTTGGCGCAATGAAAAACTACCAAAAAAGAACTAGCCTTGGAATATTAAAAGTATTTGAAGAGCGAAACAAGGAGTGGTTGGACGGAAATTTTGTACTACCTGAGCCAAAAGTAAATATGGTTTGTCATCTGGACGTCCAGCTAAGTCATTTGAAGACTGTAAGAAGGACGCTCAAGTACTCATTGTTGGTTTCTTCAGACCCACTAATGTCATCGGAATCCACATCATCATCAAAATTTGTAAAAAAAACATTTGTCCTTACGATACTTCAGACTTAAATAAGTTTTTTTTTATGTCGTAAACGTAATTTTTCTATAAAATTAAAAAAAAAATAATTATTATATATTTTTTTGAGGTTAACCAATCGATCTTATTTTGTAACAAATTTAAGGAACATTTTTCTATTCGTTCTGAAGGTATTAATTAATCCGTGCCAAATTAGTAATTTCGTCCAATGTGCTATGATGTCATCAACGGATTTTTTTTTGACTCGAGGCTGTTAATTGCTTTTGAGAGCAAGATACTTGGTCATTTTCTAACACACATAGTTCTTTCTTGTCAATAGTCGCACCAAATAGATTATACTAGTTTAAAGACGTATCCGCAGAACACTTCACTTTTTGTCTAATATGCGCAATATGGCTCTATATAGTGGCCCCGTTCTTACTACTTCGTACTCCTATAAATTAGATTCCATGTTATAGACCCAGGAGTTGAACTGAATGTGGGAAGGTTCTTCGCGCTATCAGGCAATCAACTTTGGTGGCGTTAGCAATTTTTGTCTACGGAAATGAGTTTCTCGTAGTTTAAGTAAAAATTCTACGATTTGTTCATCACAATAAAGTGGCAAACACGAACGTCAGAACAAAATAAAATCTACGATAAACTGCTTCGTAGTTGCCAGAATGTTCTAGTGGCGAAGTTTTGTTAAAAATCTAATATATAAGAGCTGCCGGATTGGGTACAAGACACAATTTTAATTAGAGTGTTGCTATGTAAAGAGCAATTGAGCTATAAGCATTAAGTTGTAAACTCGAATAACGAGTAATAGATGTTAAGTTGTTGGAAATAGAAATAAAGAAAAGTGTGTAGCATTAAATTGGAACATTTATTTAACAATCCAGTGATTAAACTCAACAGTGAATTACAAGGTGGACTATTTATCGAGAAATCCGTTACAATATTATTAATCATTCATTACACTTTCTTGTTTCTATATTATAGATTCTTACGCTTTTTAAAATGATTTAAAAAGCTCACTGCACTGCTCTTTGTTTTTTATCAGAACTCCAAAGTCGTTCGAGAAAATTTGTGATATTACACTTATCCCTAATGTTTTTTAGGAAATGGAATACACAAACCACAAAACAATAACTTTTTCTTTAATAATAAAGTATGTGCTCGAAAAATATTGGTCGCACCAATCGAATATATGAAATTCTCCTGTCACGGTGTGAATAAATTAGACACTCTCACAAATTATTGTAAACAAAAACGCCCGTGTAATTAGTATACATAAACTTAATAAATTTTTATTTATTACCGCTTAGGTTAAAATTAATTATACAATAATAATATGGCGTTGACAAACGCTGCACGAGTAGAAGCACGGATCGAAAACAGGGAATGTTGAAGGTGAAGCCGTTGAATCCGATGAGCCAAACAGAGATCGATGTGGTGCTGAAGCGCGTTGACGTAAGGAATTAGTTAGTAGCGCGCCGGATTGTAGTTGGCGAAAAACCGAATAAAGGCAGCAAGCAGTAACCGTGTTGACTGACGTGTATAATCGAATGTTGAGTTGCGCGCAGGATCGCCTTTTTTTCGAATGAGGAGTATCTGCTGCGGAGGCCATCCTTTTTGTTTGCTGAGGTGGTGTACAGGCGCGATGCTGTGGTGTGTTGTGTTGTCTCGTATGGTGATGTATGAGTGTGGTGTATTGTAGTGGGGTGTGGCACTATTTTCCGGGTGAAGTGGTGTACTTGGCGGGAGGAGTTTATACTCATTTAAGCACGTTGTTTGATGAAATTTGGTGTGCTTATCGAGCAGGTCTGAGAATCGTGCAACATCTATTTTCTATACCCCTAAATACCCTCAAATATAATGTTTTTTTTTTGTTTTGGAGGTGTTTTCTTCAAATGTATTCACTAAAAATTACGTTTATGGCAAAACAACATTTGCCCGGTCACCTAGTAACATTACAAAATCATATATTTATTATTTAATTTTAAAATATTTGTACAAGTGATAGTTTACATATAGGTTTATACGAATTTAAAAAAACATAGTCGGTTATAGACGAATAATCGCAATTTTGGTTTAGCATCCTCTTAAGCGCTTGGACAGAATCTTTACTGAAGTCTTTTTGTTACGTTTCGCCATTTATTTTTAAACGCCTTTCACTTTTTACAGCTTGTTTTGTCTTTAATAGTTTTGTTGTACTCTATTGTCTTGGCTCCACTTTAAAGTAATTTTCCATTATACAGGGAGACTCACGAATCGTGCTACTAAAACAAACCTTTTTTTCTGTGTGAGTAATCGACCTCCTTTATTTTTATTTGGCAGGTTATTATTTAAATTTTTGTTTGTGTTCAAGGAATAATCGCGCCTGTTGCACCGTCAATTCAGGCAAACCCAAGAGTTTCGACTCGCAACTTATCGGCGCAACTTGGAGTTAGTAGACGGTCATTACAAGAGATAATTCATGATGACTTAAACCTGTTACCGTACAAAGTTCAAATAACAAGCCGGTTAAACTCTTAAGACTTGCCTAATACGCCTGGAATTTCGCCAAAAAATAATTGAAATGGCCGAAGAATACAAATAATTATGTGTGATGAAACCAGCAATAATCCAAGAGACAGTAAATGTTAATGGCCACCGTTATTTAATTAGTTTTGTTTTTACCCAGAAACACTTTCAATAACGTTTACTTCAAGCAAGATGAAGCAACTGCACACATAGCCAGACCGGTTATTGCGGAGATCCAATGAAAATTTGAAAACAAATTAATTTCAAGAGATTCCACTACACCAGACTTTCTTTTATATGGTTATGTCAAGCAAGAGGTTTACAAAACAAATTCCATAAAACTGACTGAATTTTAGGAGTGCTTCGATTAAGTCGATAATTAAGGCAACCTCGACTTCCAGCCGTAATGAATAATTTTCTAATTAGGTGTCGCATATACGTGGCTGAGCATGGAAGTCATTTACGGTCCATAAATTTTAAAAAATAATTAATTGTATAAAATATAATAAATTTTACTATTCAACAAAAAAAATATTTATGTAATGCATTGATTAAAACAAAGTTATTATGGTTGGTTCTTGTAGCGCGATTCGTGAGTTTGAACATAAGTTATGTCTATGAAATTTGGTTGAAATCGAGAAGCAATGTGGTAGTGCATAAAAAACCAACAAACATTAAAACAGCTTTATTTCGAATATAACATTAAAGACAAGTTAAGAAAATATTGTGCAATGATTTATTACTCGATAACTACAAAATCGGGAAATGGGCAACCAAATTACATATTAGGAATTTACTTACAGTGAATACTCGCTTACCTTGTGATCGCCCATACAAATATTATCTCCAATTAAATTGTATGAAATATTTCTCCCTATAGTTATTTCATTTATTTGAGGGCTCATCAAAACTCGATCACACCAAGATGGACACCTTGTTGTCAAATATCTCGTAGGCAAATCAGGTTTCTCCTCATAGGGATACGATGGTGGAAACGAGATGTCATATTCGAACAGTATACCTTTGCAAATTTCCAAATCCCGGTCGTATTGCTTTAGCTAGAATATAACAATAAAGTTTTGTCTTTTTATTAAAGGCAATTACGGCAAAATTAACTAAAATATATGAGTTAATTGAAAAAATCGCCAACGATTAGCCGAAAAAATTCGCTGGCAGCTACACGAGTTCTAGAAGCAAAATAAAATAAATTACAAACAGTTTAAATAAATGGTACAATATAAAGGTAGGTTCAATATTGAAAAAAAATCCAATACCTCTAAAATCGTGAATTTAGTTCAAGTAGTTAAATTAAAATAAACTATTAGTAGTAAGTAGTAGCGAAAGTTGGATTTACACACCTTATTTAATACACATGAATAGTCAACTATCCTATAGCTACTGTTCGTAGTTGCCTTCAAGTTTTATACACAAGAGCATTGCGGCATTAAAACTTAATAATCTTATTACCATAGAATAGCTCTACTTTACAGATTTTATTATAATTGTAAATGTATGTGAATAAGATTTGGTGATAAGGTTTGTCACTTGCCTTCACGGCTTTATTCTCAAATTCAGTAAAACAGGCAATTATATGCCTGTTTGTCAAATAGGCACATGTGCCGAAAAGTAGTAACAAATAGATGCGCTTATAATTAACACATGTATGTACATTTTATAAGTAAACTATTACGATTCAGGAATAGAGCATAAGCTAACGCAGTGCACTGAACCCGGCTGAACCTTCGCGGTTCAAGATTTCCTCTTGTATACCGGTTAGTCTTACCACCTTTTGTACTGGACGCTGACAGCGGCGTTTAACGTATATGCCTTTTTTCGTCAACTTACGACTAAGTTCAATATCTCCTACTTGGTTTGGTTCGGGCCTCATCCACTTGCAACGAATTTGAAGTGAATTAAGATATTCGTTTTGCCAACGTTTCCAAAAAAATCAGGACGACAATTGATTGGTCGGTCAAACATGAAATTGCGTGGCGTTAAGGCTAATCCTCTTTCTGGGTCATCATGTAAAGCTACAATTGGCCGTGAATTAAGGCAAGCTTCAATCCTTGTCAATAGCGTAAACAGCTCATTATATCGCAATGACTGTTGATCCATAATACGAAGTAAATGTTTCTTGGCCGAACGGACCGCTGCTTCACAAATGCCACAGTGATGTGGTGCAACTGGAGTAATGAAATTTCTGTTGCGCGTATGATGATAACCATTCCTTCATATCTGCACAGATTTGTCTATCAGCACCTACAAACTGAGAACCATTGTCACTGAAGAGCTTCGCACAAATACCGCGGCAACTGAAAAGACGGATCTTGCACTTAAATCTTCAGCAAGCTCTATGTGGACTGCTCGTGAAGCCAAATGCTGAATGCAAATAAAGATATACATGTTTTAGTTGTTGTAGCTGGTCATTTGCTACCGAAGCGAACGTGGAACGGGCCACATTAATCTAGACTGCTGTTTGGAAAAACTGCCGCTGCGAGTACCCGTTCACGGAACAGCGAAGCCATTTGTTGATTCTGGAAACTCGCTGATATCTCCGACATACGGTACATTTCCATACGTACTGCCTTCAGGGTCCTTGTATGGATTTAGGGCTAACAGATGATTTCGACAGTATAGGCTTGCACTTCGTTAACAGTTATAAGCAGAGCCCGTTCGTATTGGTCAGCTGTTATAATCTTTGATCTCTGACCCCTATAGCGCGGAAGGAAGCGTCTTAGCCGCACTATTGTATTGAGGACACGATTAAGCATGCTGAACCTTTCAACGAGAGGAATGCGCTGACCATACGCAGACGTCACAAACAAGTGATGATAATTTTGACGAGTGGTTGTAAGTTTGGCATTCAAGAATCTGGGCCTTAAATTCTGGTACAACTGGATCTTTTTCTATGCACAGTTAACGAGAAGGTGGAGCTATCCACCATAGTGGATGATGACGAAGTGCTGTAGGCGTATATCCTCAACTAGCACAATCGGTCGGATTGTACTCTGAGCGAATGTGACGCCAACACTCTACCTTAGTGTGGGCCTGAATATATTCCACTCGATTACTAACGAACTGTTTTAAAGTTGAAGGTTTTTTATGAATCGCATGAAGCACTATAGTTGAATCACTCCAGAGTGTGTAAGACACGTTGTCTATACGTAGCGCCTCTTGACGTATAGTAGCTATCAGCAGGTGGGCAGCACAAAGCTCCAAGCGCGGTATTGTAATAACTTTTCCAGGTGCTACCTTAGTTTTTGCAGCAACAAGAGCCACATTGGAATCACCTCCTTGTGCGGCACTTTTCACGTAGATGAACGCGTACGCCTTCGAGCTAACGTCACTGAATCCATGAAGTGTGCAAACTGCATTAAGTGACATTCCTAACCAACGCGGTACATGGACTCGCGCTAGTTCATGAAGACCATTTGAAAACTCGAGCTACTGATCCTGCAAATCTGCAGGTAGTAGAGTGTCCCAATTAAGTCTCTCTTCCACAGAATTTGAATTAACATACCAGAACTGACCTTGTAGAAGGATCGCATCGACATCATAAGCACAACTAACAGATTCCTCGAAAGATGCGAAACTTTCCAAATAGTTGTCGACAAAAAAACCGTTAAGTACACAGTTTCTCGCTGTCAAAGCTCGATTCTTGTCCTCAACCATGTTGTCGTTATCTACAGCACATTGGCGTAAAAAACGAATCGCATTATATGGGCTGCTTGTCATACCACACGTCAATGTAGTCAACTCAAAACTACGTAGTGATTCGACTGGAGATTCCCTCCACAAGATGCGTTTACCATTGCAGGGCCGAACACAACCCAACCAAAGCGGGTACAGATCGCGCACGGTTTATGCGGGGCAAATATCTGCGCCAATAAGTAAATCGATTTTGAAGGGGGTTCCAAATGTCGTATCAGCAAGCAAGGAGTCGACTTTGCATACAGGTGTCTTAGTCGTAATCGATTGTAGGATGTAGACTTCAAATTAGATTGAAAATTACTTAATTGTGGAACCTTTAGTGTAGGGAGCTGCACTGGCGCCTATACCTTCTACTCGGATTTTGCCCGGAGTTCTGCGAAGATTTAAAATTTTAAATATGGATTCACTGGGGAAACTCACCTGAGATCCGATGTCGCATAATCCACGGCATTCGTACAACGTTCCATGACAATCGGAAAGGAGCACCTTGCCCGTCGCAGGTAAGATGGTCCGGTCATCTTGCACAAATAATGACTGGACTTCAGCTATGTGTCATTGCTGGCGGGAATACACCTGCGGTCCGGCAGAAGTGAAGTTCACCGCAGCACTTGATTTCGATGCCGATACGGAGCCTGGTATTGATGCCGAGGCTGATGATGCTGCACCAGTAGTTGCTGTATTATCTCTAGGGTTTGTACCTGGATGTCGACATAGTAGTGTGTTATGCCCCTGGTGGCAAAGCGAGCACACACCAGAAGTACACTGACGAACGGTATGCCCTGACCGTAAGAAATTGAAACATAGTGCTAAGCGTTTTACACTTTCCCAGCGTTCCTGAACTTGCATGTTTCGGAAACACTTTATTAGACCATGATTACCTGAACACTGAGGGCAAGCTACGTTTACGGGGGTTGCGTTGTTTTGTGTTTATAAATTGGTTGTGTTAATAAATTGAGAACTATCCGTTGCGCCCACGTGCGCTTTAACTGTACGAGAGGCAAAACGTTTAGATTACCGATTGTGTGTTATCGGCATGTGGGGCAGTACTAATGTTGTTGGTACGTCGGTCTAGGAATAATAATAAATATTCTAACTTCGGTATGTTTACGGTAGTGAAGCTCATTCCCCATACGCTCCGCGACGTTTTTGGTAGCTTCGGCAAAAGTACTGGAACTGGAATAGCATCCCAGTGGTGCACCGAATTCGTGGATCTATTTAATTCATTTTCACCACCAAACTATAGTATATCCGAAATATCACTGATTGGCTAATATAGACGGTATAACGCCAACAAGAAATATATGCATGTGCGATTGGGGAACAACACAGGTTGACAAATATTTTTGGTATATGAGAAACACATATTCGGTATATGGGGAACTGAAGAGGTTTTAGCATGAAGATGAGTGAAATCGGCCCATCATTTACTCAAGCCCCCATATATATTGAAATGGTTTTAGTTAATTTAAATGACTGGGTCGAACATATTATCTTAACGAAATTGGATGTAAAAAGCTTCCTAAAACTAAATTCTGTAGTTTAATTCCAGAATTAAATGATGGTACTCCAGATATAGCCAAGTACAAATATGATGATTTGTATTAGTTAAATTAATTTTGTATACTTATTTATATATCAAAGTATGAAGTAAAGTTGATCAAAAAAGCTTGGCGAGTTTATTACCTACATTAACAATTACATAGTATTCCATAAATAACATGTTTTTATATAAAGTTTTTCCGATACCTGAAAATATTTTCACCCCTTGCAAATGGCTATCCATATTTATTAGTAAATATTATACTTTAGTCGATTCGGATGGGAATATTTCTACATACTATCAACAACAGTGTTAGCGAATTTTTAAAGCTAACAAGTCTTTTTTTTATACCAGTTGTGAATAGCTGAAATAACAATTACTCTCAAAAGAAACGTATAGCAATTTTTTGTGGATTTTAAAAGCATAGCTCTTGAAATAAAATATAATTTTTCTATTGTAACAGAATTGTACATGCTACATATACATAGGAAGTGTTAGCATAGGGTTGCATCGTAAGTGATGTCAGTTTTTTTTTAGCAACCGCTTTAGTTTGACAGCTATTTACATACATACATATGTATAAGTACTTAGAGTTTTTCTAGCAAACGGGAAATATTTTGAAATGTTGGCAACGCTTTACATTAAATAAGTAAGTTAGGGCTGACAAAACTTGCAAAGCAATAAATTTGGAAGCAATTCTATTAAACTTTGCAATGAGTTACGCTATTTGAGCTTTTATTTTATTACAAGAAGAAAACAACAAAAACAAGTAAGGAAGGGCTAAGTTCGGATGTAACCGAACCTTTT